TGCAGAAGTGTAGCATGAGTACATAATCAATGTGTGCCTAGTAAGTATCTAATCTAGCCTCAAAGATATAGTGACGAGGGGTCGACATCAGCACTTACTAGTGGTTAATAAATTATAAATAGACATAAAATATAACAATGACAGTGAAATAAGAATAACAAGTAACGTGATCCTTTAACAAACTATCAATTTAAAATTTCCAAATATAACATTCCATCTCAACAAATAAAAATCATCAAGTAAATATCAAACCTCAAGTCATGAAGGAAATATCAGGTATATTCGGACTCCTAATGATTTTACGCACGAGTTATTGTAACAACCCGATCGGATATTTTGAGAATTAGTATTTTCATTCGGTGGCTTAAGATCTCAAGTAGCTTTGTATTGTGTATTATGACTTATGTGTGTGGCCGAATTCAATTTTTGGATGATTCGGGATTGATTTGGAAGAATGATTCTTGTTTTAGAAGCTTAAGTGGCAAGAGTTCGGAGTTTGACTTTTGTGTAGACAACTCCAGAATAGTATTTAAATGATTCCTATAGCTTTGTATAGTGATTTTGGACTTAGGCGTATGCGGGATTTGGATTTGGAGGCCCGTATGTTGATTTGTTGCATTTTGGCGAAAGTTGGAAAGTTGAAGGTATGGAAGGTTGAGGGGTTTGATCGGGAGTTGACTTTGTTGATATCGGTTTTGTATTGCGATTTTGGGAGTTGGAATAGCTCTGTTGTGTTATTTGGGACTTGCATGCAAAAATTAACGTCATTCCGGGTTGATTTAATATGATTCAATGCGAGTTGTAGAAGTTAAAAGTTCATAGTTCATTAAGCTTGAATTGAGGTGCGATTTGTGGTTTTGATGTTATGTTTCAGGATATGAGGCCTCGAGTATGTTCATGATATATTATGGGACTTGTTGGTATGAATTGACTGGGTCCCAAAGGGCTTGGATGTATTTTGAATCATTGGTTGAGAAAATAGTTAAGTTAAGAAATTTGGAGTTTGACCATAGTCAATATCGGGTCAAGAAGGTCTCTTTTCAATGTTTTGAATGCGCGAGCATCTCCCTAGTATATTTTATGATTGAAATTCATGTATGGTTTGTGTCCTAGATGTTCCGGATGAGTTTCAGGGTGGTTTCAGATCATTTCAGTGAAGTTTGGGATTGCTGGTGCTGGTACTTCGCAATTGCGAACTACTGCAATTATGAACTTTTCGTCGCAATATCGAACCTTGTTCGCAACTGAAAATATGTGATCTCAATAGTGAACATCCGCAATTGTGAACCTTTGGTCGCAAATGCGAACATCCACAATTGCGAACTTTTGGTCGCAAATACGACAACTACAGGTAGGTTAAGAGTTGGAATTTTAGCTCATTCTTTCATATTTTGAACCCTAGCCTCAGTAGGAGGAGATTTGGAGAGGGTACCTTTATCTACAATCATTGTGTAAGTGATTTTGATCAATTTCTAACTATTTTACATGATTATATATGAGATTTAACATCAAAATTATGAGAATCAAAGAGAAATTTTGAGAAACTTTGTCTATGTTTTGAAAAACAAAAATTTGAGATTTGAGAGTCGAATTGGACTCAACTTTTGAAATAAATTACATGTATAGACTCGTAGGATTATGGGTAGCCAGAATCTACCCTTGGACCCGGGTTACCAAGCGAGCACGGGGTTGACTTTGTTGACTTTTGAGAAATTGTGTAAAGATCATATATTTATTTATTGGAATTAATTTCTCTTGAATTATTTGATGTTATTATGTTGCTTTTTGTTAGATTTGAGCCAAACGGAGGTGAATTATAAAGGAAAAGCTATTTTAGAGTATTGATTGAGGGCTTTTGAGGTAAGTATCTTGCCTAACTTTTTGGGGAAGGAACTACCCCATAGGAATTAGGTTGTTTGCACTATTTGAACTATGTGAAAGACATGTACATAAGATGACGAGTGTGTACACAACTTATATGTAGAAATTTGACAATTTTAGACTCTTAGATTTCTTGTGCACATTAAAATAAAGTTGCCTTATTGATGTCATGTGATAATTCCATATATTTTGACGTTATTTACCCTATTTTCTTGTTGCTTGGATGCTAATTTATGCAACAATTACGCTTAGTAGAACTTATTTCACGTGTAGAAATGTTTGGACATGAATTGGACAAAAGTTGCACGAAATGGTATCTTAGAGCTACAAAATGGAGCAATAAAAGAAAACATGCAACGCAATGAAAAGTCTTGGCCATAGATAGTGCAAGGCCTTGTCCAAAGCTTTGTCATTGGAGCCCCAAAAAGTGCCTCGCGTAGAAACAATGGCGCCTCAAACAGTGCCTCGTACAGAAATATTGGTGCCCCAGACAGTGCCTCGCGTCAACGATGCTATCTGAGAAAATTTTAATTCCTCACTAGTTTTGGACATGTAGACTTCGGACCCTACCCTATAAATACCTCTTAAAGTTAGTTTTTGAAGGGGGATACATTAGAGGGGCAAGAGGCTACAAAACACCTTGGAAGCATGAATCACTCAAGTTTTTCTCTCTACTTTCTTTTAATTTGTAGTTCAATGCTTTTAATATTACTATGATTATTTACAAAGTTACGAGTAGCTAAACCTGTCATATAGGGTTGATGGAACTAATTGTTGGATGAAGTCTTGATTTCCTTTTGATATAGTTGAGTCATTCTTACTCTTTATATGTTTAACTATGTGTTTATTGTGATTAATTGAAGGGTCCTTGATTAATCGTGTCTAGTTATCTTGTGTTACTTGAGAAAGAACACTTGATTAAATTGTTATTGAACAACGCCACTTTCAAATAAGTTAAGAGATTAATTACTTGAATTTAAAAGCGGGATTAGAGATAACAAAGCTTTGGCGCGATATTTATGAGTTGTACGAATTGTCAACTAGAGTAGTTCGAGAGAATACTTCTAGTAAATTATCGTAAGTGATTGAGAGATAATTGTGGTAAGCAAGAACTCATCATATTTAGAGAGTGTTGCAGCAAGATTATAACTAACGTGTTAGGAATTAATTCGACAATTGAGAAAATCGTAACCTAGATCATTTTATCCTTGATTCAACCTCATTTTGTTAATTGATAGTTTTATTGTCATTTTTCCTTAGTCAAGTAATTGTTTTAATTCACAAATCAATTCTTGAACTTTGAAAGTTGTCTAAGCTTATCATTAGTAATACTTAAAAGTAGTAGCAAATAGGTTAGTTCCATGTGGGATTCGACTTCGGACTCTTGAACCGAATTATTTTTGCAGCGACCGCTTAGTCATTTTTATAAGGCATAGTTGAGCGTGATCAAATTTTGGTGTTGTTTCCTGGGGAACTAACGGTGTTATTCGTTACAACTTAAAAGAATTGCTAGGATTTTTAGTTTAGATCAATTTTCTATGGTGCTAAAAATATTTCTATTGAAATTCTCATGTTTGAATTCTTTTGTGCCTTAGATGCATGCCTAGAAGCTCCTTGAGAACTGTTGAACTATTTGAAGGTCTAACAAATCCTGAGAGAGCAGTCAGGATATTGAATCGGGCTAACAAGAAGGGCAAACAGATAAAACAAAATGAACAAATCAAAATTGAAATGGGTGACGTCGAGAACGTAAACGGGAACAATATAAATAATCAAGTTGACCCAAATATTAGAGTGGTATCACCTCTGGTACCGGAGGCTGCTATATATGATTGGGCGCCACCAACTGCTGACAATCTGACTACTGCAATTGTAGTCCCTTCAATACAAGCGGATACATTTCAAATTACAAACAACACGATGCACTTGTTGCAGAATAAATGGTTGTTCTCCAGGTCGTACATCGAAGACCCATAGCAACATATGAAGAATTTCCTATCAATTTGTGTTACTCAAAGACAGTCGAATGTGACATTCGAAGCAATCAGATTGTTACTGTTTCTATTCTCAGTGACTGGGGAGGCTCAAACTTGGCTGGATTTTCTCCCAATAAACTCTATTCCTACATGGGAGGAACTAGTCAAGCAGTTCTTAAACAAGTTCTATCCACCTAATAAGACTGCGAGGCAAATTGATGAGATATTACAGTTCAGGCAGAAACCAACTAAAACTTTGCAAGAAACTAGGAGAGGTTTAAGGGCCTGTTGGCGAAGTGTCCACACCATGGCATCCCGGATCAGATGCTAGGACATAGATTTTATATGGGTTTGGCTGACAGTCTAAAGGCCAATGTAGATGCTTCAGTTGGGGTGTATTGTTGAGAAAATTATTCACATAGTGTAAAATTCTTCTTGACAAGATGGCTCAAAATTCAGGTTGGATTATGAGGGATACAACACTCACTCTAATAGTGCATTCTGTTGTTCTTGACCCGAACCATATAAATGCAGAAAACATAGCCACCCTCATGACCTAGATGAGCTTGTTGACAAAGAAAATTGATGAAATGGGCACGGAATAGGTTCATATTTTTGACATAACAAATGGAGGCCTATGCACTCCCTGTATCAACCAGTCGTATGTTTGCTCATTGAGTGGAGAAATGATAACTAGGGCTTCAGAGAAGACATGAACTATGTAAATAATTTTGGGGGTCAAAGGAAAGGTGGACAATAATGGGGACCATAGAATCAGCAGTACAGACCAACCCAGCAACAGTGCAATACTAATCCTGGAGAGCACGACCACAAGGCCAAGTTATGCCCTATCAAAGGCAGCAGGGTTACAATCAGCAGCACCAATAACAATTGGCTTACCAACAGCCTCATCAATAGCATGTGGCCAGATAGGATGACAGTAATATAATATAAATCAAGGGCATGTTGCAACAAATCATTGGGACAAATGGGAAGGATGGAAGAAAAGTTAGTCGTAAATGACTTGGCTATTAAAGGCATTGAAACTCGGTTAGGCCAGTTGTCCATGGCTTTGAACAATCGCCCACAACGTTACATGCAGACACAAATATCAATCCAAAAGAGTAAAACCTGAATCAGTTAATGGTAGTGAGTCTCAGGAGAGGAAGGGATTTGGATAGAGAGCAAAACATTTCTCAATCTAATAGAAATGTAGTTCCACTTACTCTAGTGCCATTTGAGATCGATGAGTTGACGGAGCTTATAGATGTTGTAATTGAACAAGCACAAGTTGACAAAGGTAAGGAGAAAGAAAGTGAACAGTTACCAAAATAGGTAGTGGAAAAGACACAAAGTAGTAGGCAACATCTACTTCCAGCCCATTTCCCTTAAAGGTTGGAAAAGCAAAAGAAAGATGATCAATATAGGAAATTCATGGAAATGCTCAGACAGATTCAATTGAATATCCCGTTAATGGATTCTTTGAGGGAAATGCTAAGCTATGCGAAAATGATGAAGGATTTGATGTCTCAGAAGTTTTGACTTCCAGGACCTATCTACTGTAACTCTGACTCAAACTTGTAGTGCGGTAGTGACAAGACGTATGGCTCAAAAGTTGTCTGATCCCGGCAGTTTCACTATCCTATGCACAATTGAAAATTATGCTTTTGCTAAAGCATTGTGTGACTTGGGAGCCAACATTAACTTGATGCTCTTGGCAATCTACATAAATTTAGGCATTGACAGAGCTAGACCAACCTCAATGTTGCTGCAACTAGCTGATCGCACAGTGAAAAGGCCAATAGGAATTCTAGATGATGTGCTCGTCCAAGTGGGGAAGTTTGTATTTCCTGCTAATTTTGTTATACTTGACTTCCAGGTTGATGGAGAAATACCCATAATTTTGGGTAGGTCGCTCTTAGCCGCTGGGAGAGCGTTGATTGACTGTGAAACCGGAGAGTTGAAAATGAGGTTGAATAATAAAGAAATAATATTCAATGTTCAACAATTTATGAGGAGGCCAAACAAATTTGCAAATTGTCGCCAGTGGAGGCAGTTGATGTGATACTACAAGAGGAGGATGAGACTCTTAATGTCAGAGACCCATTAGAAGCTTGTTTGATGAATTTGTGAGAAGTGGATAGTGAAGAGTTGGCAAAGTAGGTTATTGCTCTCTAAGGCCAAGGGTTCTGGAAAAGGGAACCCTAATTCGAGCCACTACACTTAGAAGAAAGAGAAACACCACTTGTGATGCTGTCAATAAAAGAGCAACTAGTTGGACCTGAAACGCTTCCAACTCACCTCAGGTATGTTTTCTTAGGGCCTAACTCTACTTTACATGTTATTATCTCATCTGGTTTATTAATTGTGCAGATAGAACAACTCCTACATGTGTTACAGAAATGTAAGACTGATATTGGTTGGACCATGCAGACATTAAGGGTATCAACCCGATCTTTTGCATGCACAAGATTCTCTTGGAAGAGGGGCACAAACCTTCTAGGGAATATCAAAGAAGATGGAACCCGAATATGAAGGAAGTGGTAAAGAAGGAAGTGATTAAGTGGTTGGATACGGGAATCATCTTTCCAATTTTAGATAGCGTCTAGGTAAGCCCAGTCCAATGTGTTTCGAAGAAAAGTGTCATGCCTGTTGTACAGAATGAGAATAATGAGTTGATGTCTACTCGTACAGTCACAGGTTGGCGAATTTGCATGGATTACAAAAAATTGAACACTACCACCTAGAAAGACCATTTTCCCCTGCCGTTCATTAACCAAAGGTTGGATAGATTGGCAGGGAGGTCTCAAATCACAATAGCACCTAAGGATAGAGAGAAAACATCATTTACTTGTCCATATGGCATCTTTTCCTTTCAAAGAATGTCGTTTGGCCTATGCAATGCACCGGCCACCTTCCAAAGGTGTATGTTAGCCATTTTCACTAATATAGTTGAAGATGTTATGGAAGTCTTTATAGATGATTTCTCAGTGGTGGGGAATTCATTCGATGATTGTCTTCACAATTTGAGAATAGTGTTGAAAAGGTGTGTGGAGACAAACCTGGCGCTGAACTAGAAAAAGTGCCATTTTATGGTACAAGAAGGTATAGTTTTGGGGCATCAAGTGTCAAGTAAGGGTATTAAGGTTGACATGATTGAGAAGTTTCCACTGCCCATTTCGGTCAAGGCAGTAAGAAGTTTCCTTGGGCACACCGGTTTCTACAGGCGATTCATAAAGGATTTCTCTAAAATTGCTAATCACTTATGTAAACTGCTTGAAAAGGATCACCCCTTTGTGTTTTCTGAGGATTGCAGGTTAGCATTTGAGGAGCTGAAGAAGATACTGGTGACTGCACCAATCATCGTTGCACTCAACTGGGAGCTGCCATTTGAGCTCATGTGTGATGCAAGTGACTATGCTATAAGAGTAGTTTTGGGGAAGCGAAAGGACAAAATGGTGCACCCAATTTACTATGCAAGTAGAACGTTAAGCGGTGCACAACTCAATTATACCGTGACTGAGAAAGTGATGTTGTCTATGGTGTTTGCATTCGACAAATTTAGGTCTTATTTTATAGGTTCAAAAATGATTGTTTATACTGATCATGCAACACTAGAGTACTTGATAGCAAAGAAAGATTCAAAGCCACACTTGATCTATCGGGTTCTTTTGCTACAAGAATTGGATTTGGATATCTACGATAGGAAAGGAACGAAGAACCAAGTGGCAGACCACTTTTCAAAGTTGGAGGGAGCTGAAAAGAAAGTAGAGGTCAAAGATATAACAGAGACATTCCCAGATGAACAATTACTAGCAGTGGAAATAGAGGAGACGCCTTGGTCTGCTGATATTGCTAACGATTTGGCAAGTGGTATTGTACCTTATGAACACTCTTCAATTCAAAAGAAAAATTTCTTTCGTGATTGTCGGTCTTATTACTAGGATTAACCTTTACTTTTTAAAATATGTGTGGATAACATGATCCGGAGGTGTATCCCCGAGATAGATCAATCTTTTGTTTTGCAGGCTTGCCACACTTCACCATATGGTGGGCACTTTAGGGAATTCGGATAGCGGCGAAGGTGTTGGAGTAGGATTTATATTGGCCGACTCTATTCAAGGATTACCATGCCTGGGTGAAAAGTTGTGATGAGTACCAAAGAACTGGCAGCATATCTTGCTGTCATGAGATGCCAATGACTACAATTCAAGAGGTGGAAGTGTTTGACATGTGGGGGATCAATTTTATAGGACAATTTGTCAGCTCGCATGGTAACAAGTACATATTGGCAGCAATTGACTATGTCTCCAAATGGGTTGAAGCGGTGGCTCTTCCAACAAATGATGCCAAAAGAGTGATAGGATTTCTAAGAAAAAATATTTTCACACGGTTTGGCACTCCGAGAGCTATAATCAGTGATGGTGGAACTCATTTCTGCAATAAAGCATTTGCAAGGCTGTTAGAAAAAGTATGGAGTTCGCAATAAGGTTGCCACACCTTACCACCCACAAACGAGTGGGTAAGTGGAAGTGTCCAATAGGAAAATTAAAAGTGTCCTAACCAAGACAGTAATGCGACTCGGACTGATTGGGCAAGGAAGTTGGATGATGCATTATGGACTTACTGAACAATATTTAAAACTCCAATTGGTATGTCTTCGTACAAGTTGGTGTTTGGAGAAGCATACCATCTTCCGATGGAGCTTGAGCGTAAAGCCTTACGGGCACTGTGGCAGTTGAATTTGGATATGGAAACCGCGTGCACACGTAGAGTTATAGAGTTACATGAACTCGAGGAGTTCCAGTTCCAGATATTCGAGAGTACGAGATTGTATAAAAGAAGGATGAAGATGATGCATGATAAGCACATTCTAGATAGGAACTTCACACCCGGAGATCTAGTATTGTTATACAACTTGAGATTGAGATTATTTTCGGGTAAGTTGAAATCTAGATGGTCAGGACCATTTAGAGTTATGCAAGTGTTGCCAAGTGAGGTAGTAGAAATTGAGTTCGAAGATGGAACGAACATGTTTAAAGTGAATGGGCAAAGATTGGAACACTACCTTGAAATGATTAAAGAAAAAAGGGGAGAAAGATGTGATGTACTTGGAAGAGCCCCAATATGTGAGCGAAGTGTAATCTTGAAAGCCTGTGTCGTGACGCGACGTTAAACCAGGCGCTTCTTGGGAGACAACCCATGGTCGTGTTGTATATGGCATGCCATAACGTTAAATAAGGAGCTTATTGGGAGGCAACCCAATTCATAGCGTAAATTTCATTTAGTTTTAGTTTTTGTTTGATATTGAGGCAGACTAACAAGTGATTTTTCTGTGGATTTGTCATGTTTTATAGGTAGTGGAGCTAGGTGGAAGGAAGATGTGCTCGGGTGTCCTAAACAAGCTAAAAGGGTGCAAAACAAACAAGAAAACATCGAGCCATCGCAGGGCAAAGTCCAAATGGTAAGTTTTGCACGCCTCATGTTGCCTAGCGAGACACCGCCCCAGACCCCGCCCCGCACTATATTTTCAGTGCCCCTCACATAGTGAGGCAGTGTCCAGTGCCCTAAGGCCAGCGCGCCTGCCAGCACGCCGTGTGACCTCACTACCGCTACTCATTTTACCTTGCTTAGTCCAGCTACTGCTCCTCACGTCGCCTTGTGCCAAGGCCTAGGTAAGTCATAAATTTTTTATTTAACCCACCACAACCTAATTAAAATAACACCAACATTAAAACCCAACCCCCACTCCCTAGCATCTAAAACACAAAGAAAGAAACCCCCTCTCCCTAACTCCCAGCCCCACTGCCCCGTTCCTAGAGAGAGAGAATCCAAGTTTCTCAAGTTGCATTCCCACCCCACTGTCTCATCTCTCACTCAAGCAATGGGTATGATTTTCTCTTTCTCGCTCCTCTATTCTCTCTTTTTCTATGTAAATGCTAATGTTGGGTAATATGCTCTACAAGGTACAACAATGGTGCAATGTGCTAAAAAAATTCCAAGCCCAAATACCCCTTGTAGTGAGTGTTTCACACTCAATTCCCAAGCCAATTTGGGAGGGTGGATCAATCCTTCACCCACAAAGCAACTCACACACAAATAATGCATACAAGGTGTTCGATAAATTGCCTCATTGGCAATTTTAGTCCCAATTGGAGCCCGAGTCTTCGGGATTTGTTGTTTTGTGTTAGAAGATCATAATTGATATAAAAACATAAGTGTGGGATGACTCTAGAGAGTCGAGGTGGATTGATAAAGTGTATTTACAATGACATACGAGCTATGTTGTGAATTTAGTTTAATGCTGCTAAAGTCGCCCATGTTCTTGTATGGGCTCAATCAGTGAATCCCCTATCTTCAGCTTATGATTTTTTCTTTGAAAGGCTTGGGCTCCCTTTGGGCCTGAAACTTAAGGCTATTGTGAAACAAGGAGACTTGTAACATTGCCACCCCATTAAGCTTGTGCTCGACCCCTTTGCCTTCTGCATTAATGTGGAAGTTTTCAATAACTATTGGGCCGGCTGCCAGGCCCAGGCCTTTGAATAAATATAGAGTGGATCTCCTTTAACACTAGCTTTTTTTGATTAATGAGTCGAGTTTGAACATTAGCTGTTAAAAAATAATAATTCGAATCCCTTTAGGCTTTCTTGAGTTAATTAACTCCTTTTAAAATTAGATCCGAGGCGTGCCATATTAAGTGAGCTATAATTTATGGCCCTCAAAACCAAGTTCAGAAACCATTTAATAGAAAATTCGAGGCATGCCATGCCAAATAAAATCTCAAAACCCATGGCCCTCCATTAATTATTTTAACTCTTTAGAAATCGAGGTGTGCCGTTAGTCGAATCTTCCATGGCCCTCGCAAACCTTATCATTGTGTAGTTGCTTTAGGCGCGTAATTTAAAATAATTTCCTTAAACTCGGGTGTGCATTTCATGTGACTCAACTCCAATTCTCAACAATGTTAAATAAAATGTTTCATGAATCGTGGGTGCATTTCATGTGGTGTGGTTCAAGGCGTGTTTTAAATAACGTTGAATCTTTCCTAAAATAATTAAAAGCGGT